CAGCCTCGAGATTTCGGTGACCCTGTGCATTTTACTAAAAATAGGCCTTAAAACTTATAAATCTTTAAAAATATAAAAATAAAATTCTTATTTTTCATTTCATCTATTAATATACTTCTATAAAAAATCTCATTCAAAAATATTACACAAGAAATATACTTTGCTTTTTTTGAAAATCACACATCCTTCTAATGTGTGTTTAGTCTGATCATTTTCGGCTTCAATGAGTTTTTCCTCCTACGTGGGAGGAGAACGAGTGGCAGGGTATGCGAATGCGACTTCTATTTGTGAAAAATCTTTCTCCAACCTCCTTTTCTTCTCGAACCAAGATTTTTTTGGAGTGTGTTTATGAGATTTCTGCCGTATTGTACAATATCACCATTTCATCAAAAAAACATGTATGCAATGAAATGAACTTTGAAAGACGAAATATGAAATCAGAAGAAACACAAACTTTTTAGTTATTCTTTTTCAATTCAGAAGGGCTTAGATCTTTCTTGATAGTGGTAATACAAGTCCTCTTCTTGCCCATTTGTTGGTTAAATCATCTTCATAACATTAACCATTAACTTAAAAATCAGAATGATATGCATTATAGTAAATAACTTCGAGTTTCTTATAAAAAAAATCCATCATTTCGACTTCCATTTAATTTAGATATACTCATTTCAAGACGATCTGGTAATTAGTATTTCTACTATCAAAGTTAATCAATTTTTAAACCCAATATGTTTTACTGGAACAACAAATACACACAAAAAACTTACAGTTGAAACATGATATAAGTTCCAAATGTGTATTGATCTGAAATCATTTGAGTACACTAATTAACCAAACCACGAATCAGGGACCTCAAACACAACGAGGAAGACAAGAAGAGTAGAATGTGAAATTGAGAACTATGTTGCTACTGGATTATTAGAGGCTTAAATACAAACAGTTTGAATACAAGAAGAGTATAATGTGAAATTGTGAATCGTTGTCATGGGACTATCAAGAAGATCGATTAGGATTGAAATCTTGTATGAATTGTTTGAATACAATTACCTAGGATTTGAATCGTTGCAATCATTACTTTTATTTTCATGCATATCATCCTCGACATAGGGGAAACGAATCGCCTTCAACTCACTGCTTGCCAATTTTAATTCAAGCTTCCTAGTGTCGAGTTCTAATTTCCTGAATGAAGACGTGAACTTGATTAACCTAAACAAGGATTTCGGCCAATAGAATACTATTAAACACAGATAAAAATATGGGGCCCCTAATAGATGATGAACCCTATTCAAGGGAACTTCTTAAACACCCTTTAGGCTAGCCTTCGGGAGCTCACTGTAGTTTGATGTGGTTTTACATGTATGGGTGAGAATTCGGGCTGGGGAAAGTGGTAGTAGCTAGAAGTGTATGGATGAACAAGGGCGACGTGAAAATTACAATGTATCCCACACATGAGGATGGCGAGGGGATGGATGTGGAAATTTGTTTTACTTCATCACAACATATGATAGATCTTTAATGCGACGAGGAATTCATAAATGCTATAAGTATTAAATGATATGATAAGTAAGAATGTCAAATATTAACGAATGAAATTTCCATGTTAGTTGTGGCCTGTTGGATCCTTTGAAGTTGTTCCCGTTTCCGAATCACCGGCCGACAATTTACTGCTTATGTTGTTGTCAATTTCGTTTAATCTATTTAAGTTGTAATTTAATTGAGAGTAAAATACATAGATAGTTTTATGGTTTGGATTAATATGTTTATTTGGTCCCTAATTCAGATAAGTAAGATGAAAGGATGTATATGAAGTTTTCTCTAGATGAAGTATAATTGGTTTAAGTAATCTCCAGAAAAGTCCTAAAATTTTACCCTAATTTACGAAAAAGTTCCAAACTAAAATTTGTTTACGAAAAAGCATGAATTACCGATAAAAATGACGATTTGACCCCTTTTTTCCGGTTTACCGGTTTCATTACTTACCAGTTTCACTAAAGTCCTATTATTTTACCTTAATTTGCGAATAAGTCCCAAACTAAAATTTTGTGATGATTTGACCATTTTCTTCATGTAACATACAATTTATCGGTTTCATTGCTAACTTAGACACCTAGTCATTAAATTAGCTGATAAGATGGATATGATGGGTTATATAATGCTAACATTTACTGTAAAATTTGATATCCATCTCATCGGATCATTTATGACTATGTATCGAGGTCAGCAATGAAACCAATAAAATGTGTGTTTCCAGGAAAAAAGGGCAGAAAATGAGTTGATGTCTCATGAGATGGATATATTGGGTTACATAAGATTAGATAGACAATTTGATATTTCTTATAAACATAAAAAATAACGCAGTTGTTGCTAATTTATGTAATTATTGCAATCTTTGTTTGGATGTATTTTATGTTCCAAAAGAATATACAATACATCAGGATGTCAAGTTTTATGCTAAACATAACATTATATAACTCAATATATTCATCTCATCGTCTCATTTAATGACTAGCGTCCGGGTCAGCAATGAAACCAGTAAAATGTATGTTACATAGAGAAAATGGCCAAATCATCACTAAATTTTAGTTTAGGACTTCTTCGTAAATTAGGATAAAATAATGAGACTTTAATGAAACAGGTAAGTAATGAAACCGGTAAACCAGGAAAAATGGGTCAAATCGCCATTTTTACCGGTAATTCATGTTTTTTCGTAAACAAAATTTTGTTTGGGACTTTTTCGTAAATTAGGGTAAAATTTTAGGATTTTTCTGGAGATTTCCCTTGTTTTATTTTTATTTTGTTTTTTTAAATTGTTTTAATTTATGTTAATATTTATAATAACATATAAATATTAAAAACTAAAAAAAATATATAAAGATATATAATAAGGACAATATTGTTATTTTACGTTAGATATGGACCAAATGCATAAGAAAAAAACATAATACAAGGCTTGTCTCAATTAAAAAATTCATATTCTAATAAAAGAATAGGTTGATTCTCCTTTTGTCATGTGTCATCTTATTAAAACTTTTAATTAATGCGATGTCACATGTCAACCTATTGATTTTCTATTTCAAATTCAAATTTTAAATTCATTACTTTAATTACATTAAATTAAATAACATTAGAATAAAAATTAAAAAAAAAACTAATACAGATTATAAAGTCACGTATTTATTTAAATCAACGATTATAATTTTATATAACTAAAAAGAAATATCTCTTAATTAATAATTTATTTAACATAATGGATTATTAATTTTGAGTTTTTTACTATGAAAGTTTAATTAATTTTATAACCGTGGTTCCCACGGGTTATAAACTCGTAAAAAATTTATAAATAAAATAGAGGCCAAACATAAAAATTCCCACGGACCACAATACCATTTGTGTAATTACTCTTTAATCAATATAGAATTTTTGAAATTTAAGTTACGGTTTAATCAATTAGGTATTTTCAAACCTAAATTGAATTGTATATACATTTTAACCGGTCACATGTGTAATGTTTAAACCACACTATGTCGTGTGAACCATTCAAAAGATGAATAAAAATAAACAATTTAATCAAACTAGGCCAAAACTGTAATTTACACATTTATTTATTTTAGACAGGAAATCAAAAGTTACATGTATAGCCCTAAGCTTTTTATAATTTGCTATATATTTTTAAAGTAATAGAATTTAGTAAATATCAACTTTTTCCCAGCATTTTTGTATTTTGTGGTTGGACATATATTTTTCTAAAATTCACAAAAGATGCGTGAAAACATTTCTACCCTGAGTATCAGTTATTTAAATAATTTTATGTAAGTTTTGTTAATTTATTTTTTCTTATAGTTAAGAAGTAATGGAGTATTTTTAACATCTGAAAAATATGTTGTTCAATTTTAAAGATTCGTAAAATTTAAATCAAATAATTAACAAGAACTACAAGAATTTGGATTTATCTGGTTCAAGTTATATGACTTTCGAGTAGTTCAATCTTTAAATATAATTTTGACGTTTTTTGGAGATATTTAATTTTCGAGTAAACTGTGTTGTCTTTTTTGTAATTTTAAAATCATTATAAGGGTGAAAGATACATATTTTTCTCAACTCATCCAACTTATTTGTCATATCAGTTTTTTTTTTCTCTCCATTCTCTTCTACTTTTTAATCCAACAACATATGAAAAATCATCTTTTATCCCTTCCAACTCATTCAATTTACTTAAAATGAATACAAAATAATTAAAACCATATAAACTAACTAAAAAAATATTTAAAACATACAAAGCAAATTAAAATCATATAAAAAGTTATTTGGATACAATTATTTATGTATAAAATAAAACTATCCAAAACACCTAGCCGGTACCGGCCTCATCCTCCGGCCCGAAACTAGTCATTCGAATCTAAATGTTTCAAAATAGACAGTGAAAAAGTAACTATCAACTTAACCATTGCTAAATCCAAATCTACAGATTGGTTCAAAATCTTTAATTCTCCATTAAAAAATGCATATTATATGTGTTTCTAGCATTTTCCACATGTTTATGACATTTTCCACCATAAATATTTTTTGGTACTTTGTATCTTTCTCCCTTCTAGATGTTTAAGATGTACTAACCCGTAATTGAAATTGGGGTTTGATCTACATGTGGATTTCTTCATTGTTTTGATTTAAATTTAACTTAAAAACTTGTTTTTTTAAAACAATTATTTGAGTTTATAATATATTTAACAAGAATTAAGTTCCATGTCATATATCTATAATTTCAACAAATCACTAGGCTTAAATACAACTTATTAGTTACAATTAATAATAGAAAATAACAAAATATAAATATATTGATAAAAATGGTTATAAAATAATAACTTATATGATTTTTGAAAAGTCTATTTCAGAAAAAGTGTATCCAATAATCCACAGTATGTCGATGCTCTTATAAGTACAAGGAGTGTGTGCATTGTTCCATTAAAAGAAGAGAACAATTGGTGATTGTTGCTTTGCTATCAATGAGTAATACATCTGTAAAACGCATATCAGAGTGCTTCATAAAGCCATTGCACGACCTCTCACCGGAGGCGAAGCAGCCTTTGCACCTCACACCCCTTGAGTTGTTCGCCCTCAACGTCAACTACAGCCAAAAAGGTCTCCTCTTTGCAAAGCCACCACCATCGGAAAATCAAGATTTCTCCATAAACGCATACCTGGATGACCTCCAACGCTCCCTCTCGGCCACCCTCGACCATTTCTACCTGCTCGCCTGCCGTTTGGCCACTAAAATAGAAGAAAGCCCACATTCATATGTCATCTACTTAGACTGTAAAAACAGCCCTGGCGTCAAGTTCATCTACGCGACGGCTGATGCTACCATATCAGACATCCTTCAGCCTGGCGACGTACCCGTGGTTGTTCGTTCGTTTTTTGATCTTAATAACGCCATTAGCTACGATGGTCACACATTGCCATTGTTATCCATTCAAGTTACAGAGCTTGTCGATGGAATCTTTATCGGTGGATCCATCAACCATGTACTCGCTGATGCAGCCTCTTTCTGGCATTTCATGGGTGCTTGGAGTGAAATATTCAAATCCAAAGAAGAATCTTTTGTCTCAATCTCTCGACCTCCGGTATTCAAACGATGGGTCCTGCCTGGGTATGATCCTATTATCAGTCTCCCGTATACACACCACGATCAATTTATAGAAAGACTCGAAGCTCCACCACTTGTGGAAAGATTCTTCCACTTCTCCTCAGCCTCGGTCTCTAAACTTAAAGCAAAAGCAAACTCCGAATGCAATACTAATAAAATCTCAAGTTTACAAGCAGTGATCGCGCTTTTATGGAGGTGCGTTACCCGTGCCCGGCGCTTATCAGACGACGATGAAACTAGTTCAAACTTGATGGTAGGTAACCGGCGACGGATGAACCCACCTCTGTCTAATGATTATTTTGGTAACCCAGTTGGTATGGTGAGGGGAACTGCAACGGTCAGGGAATTGATGACGAATGGGCTTGGGTGGGCGGCTTTCCGGTTATACGAAGCGGTGATAAATTACAACGATACAACAGTTAAGGAAAACATTGAGTCATGGATTAAAAAACCGTTCATATTTAAACGAAGTCAGATGATAAATAAAAACATCATTCTCGTTTTGAGCTCACCAAGGCTTGACATGTATGGGTGCGAATTCGGGCTAGGGAAAGCATTGGCGGTTAGAAGCGGGTGGATGAACAAGGACGATGGGACAATTACAATGTATCCCGGACGGGAGGGTGGTGGGAGCATGGATGTGGAAGTTTGTTTTACTTCTTCACAAACTATGATGGATCTTGATTCCGATGAGGAATTCATGGATGCTCTAAAGATTGAATGATATAAGAAGAAATAATGTCAAATATTCACGAATAAAAGTTCCATGTTTGCTGTGGGCTGTGGGATCTTTGAAGCTGTTCCCGTTTTGGAATCACTGACCGACGGTTTACCGCTTCTGGCGTTGTCAATTTGGTTTAATATTTTAATCTATTTAAGTTATAAGTTAATCAAGAGTAAAGTATGCGGATGGTTTTTATGGTTTCGGTTAATTTGTGTATGTGGTCAATAACTTTTAACTCGGTCCTGAGGCTACAATGAGTTATTCGGTATGGGCCTTGGCACGCCTTATGTGGCCTCTACGTACACTCATACTCTACGAGGTGAACTCTGTTGAAACAATAACTTGTAGATCGATAGATTCAAAACAGTAAAGTAAATCAAACAAGAAGAATAATGATCGAAGTTTTGCTAAATAATTAATAATCAATGCCTTAGGATAGTTCAATGTGAAGTATTGTTCTGTAAAGACAAAGTAGGGAATCACAAGACGATTAACCCTAATACAATACATGCATGGAATATTTATAACCTAACCCTAGCAACATAAATGTGGATGGACAAACCCAATCCATTTATTAAATACATAAAAAATTTGACACAAACACATTTATAACCTAACAAACTCGACCTCCCTCTACCGAGTTCAAAACTCATTCATTTCCTCTAACTACCAATCAAACGCTAGCATTTAATTTTTTTTAATAAATTTTAAATTTTAATTTATAAAGAGTGTCAAACCACCCCTCTAAATGAAAATTTTTATATGTAATATGCCTATGTGACATGAAAACGAGTGGAAAAACTGACACCACTACCTTTAGCATAATATGATTTTTGTTGCGTTTTTGGTACCTATCAAGCAACTACTAACTGACTCTATTAACAATGTGACCAATTAATTCACTTGAAGTACTGAAAATACCCTTATGCTAACACCCCCTCTTAATCCAGAGGATATATAGTAAGACCCAGATTAATAATTTATTCTCGATGTTTAGGACCCGTTAAAGATTTAGTGAACACATTATCCGGTTGTTGAGTAGTGGGAACATGAGACAAAAAAATTAAACCATTTTGTAATTTTTCTCGCACACATTGGCAACCTACTTCAATGTGTTTTATCCTCTCATGAAACACTAGATTTTTATCAATGTATATAGCTATAAGATTATCGCATTTCAAGGGTATGGGGTAATATTCATGATTTGTACTTCTTCAAATACTCGACTTAACCAAGCAAGTTCTGCACAAACTCTTCTCATGGACCTGTATTCAGCTTCTGTAGAGGAAAGTGACACATTGAGTTTTTTTTGGACTTCCATGAAATTAGAGCTCCTCCAAATAAGATGAAAAATTCACTGACTGATCTTCTAGTAAATGGATATGCTGCCCAATCAGAATCACAATACGCTTCCAATTTGAAATTTTTATCATTATTAAAGAATAATCCTTGAAAATATTTTCCTTTAAGATATTTGAGGGACATGTAAAGCTTCATCATAATGATCTTAACATGGTCTTTGAATAAATTAAGTGTTGCATTGCAAAGTACAAGTCTAACCTTGTATGAAGAAGAACATTTAATTTCCCAATCAAATGTCTATATGTTTTTGGATCAGCTAAAGGAATTCCCATGTCTGGTAAAAGTGAAAGTTTATGTTGGGTTTTTATATCACCAATACACTCTAATAAGGTAGGGAAAACTATCAAAAATTTACCTAAATGAACATGTGCCTTAGGATCTAGGTTTTACCAGTTATAATAACCTACTTTCGAAATCAACTAAAGAGAAAGATAAAACACATACCTATTTGAAGAACTTGATCTGGTATGTTCATATTCAACCCTTATTATTTAAAAGTGTTTCATTTTGGTCCTTGTGGCTAGTACTGATGGGTTTTCTATGCATCAAATACACTCTAAAACTAGGCAACGGAAAAATCGAAACAACGATATACCTAAGTGTACATGCATTCTATGGATCTATGGTTTCATGCTAATTACATCAACCCTAGAAAACTAAAATATAAGTAAGAAAACATACCTCTTATGTAGCCCTTGATCTCCATGCTTGAGATCTTGAACCTCCATGAAGTTGCTTGGATGAAAGGATCCAAACCAGAATCCCTCTAATGGTATCACACCCAATGACACCAAAGAGTGGAATAAAAATAACTAGGAGAAGGGTCAATTTCACAAACCCAAAGGGGTTAGAAATCGTTCCTAAGAGGGGGAGGAAGAAGGGTTGGCGAATACTTCAAGCCAAGGTGCAAGGAGGAATGAAATCCATAAGGCCCTATTTATAGCCTTGGATGCCTCCTAGGGTTTAGTACTCCTTCCTATGTGGGATGGAGGCCTAACCACGAAATTTCACTCCTTTCCCATGTGGGATGGAGTGATTTTCATCCAACCCTAATTCCATAAGGTTCTGGAACATTCCTGATTAACCAACTATCGATTAATAAACATTCAACCCTTTAATTAATTAAACTGTTAATTAATTCCCAAAATATATTTCCAAAATATATTTCCAATTAGTTTCTAATTAATTATTAACCATAATAATTAATAAACTAATTTCTCCTTTATTTATTCTACTCAATTTGGGTCTTGAGGGCAACCCAAAAGGACCCTGCTATTATTAGAAATATTACCAATAGTTAATGACCTTGGACACTATTCCAACAGTCTCGCACTTGGACAATTCATCAACTATACGAGGACTAATATTTCTCCAATAATCAACAGAGAGTTAGTCATCCAATGCAACTACCGAACTCTTGATCTAATCAAGATTCAGCCCTTAGATAAGTGATCAACTATCCCTTCGTTCTATGATATCTGTATGAATTCGAGACATGGATAATGGTCAATCTCAAGAATTCAAGATTATGTTTCCCGATATAGATTTGTGACGACTGCATCTGACTACTAAATTGAACACATCAATTTCAGTCAGGGCTCGACCAAGCACTTTAGATGTCAACACCAAATTATCGAGGGGCCCATAGATATCGTTTCTCCTATTAACGCAGAAAGAACGAATAAACTTTGACTACATAGTTTTTGTCTATTTCATCATGTCACACATGAACATACTGTAAAATCCCAATTTTCGAGTCCAAAAATTACATTTTTATTTAACTGAGTATAAAAACATTCATAAGAAAACCACGTAGAAATATATCATTTCGTAAATCAACATATCATGTCTGAAAACCCAAATCATAAAATAGCAACATGTCAGTGTACAATCCCAGAATATCTCAAGTGTAGAAAATCAATGTGTGTGTATGATGTGTTGCTATCGTGCGAGCTCCTTCCCCTTCGCTGAAGAGGTACCTGAAACCAAAACTGTAAACTGTAAGCACGAAGCTTAGTGAGTTCCCCCATCACCACATACCAAACAATCACATAGCATACATACTGTCGGGCAATTCTGGGGTGCCCAACCTACCCGGTACGGCCATTCTGGGGTGCCGACCGCAGGTGCGAACTCAGGCCTAAACCGGGTCACAAAATCCGGCCATGACATAGCCTCAATAGCCGAGGCTCCTAGAGAGTCACCAACCGACTCCCACCAATCCCTGGACCGGTCCCTCAAGCATCCCACTGCATATCGTACCTTCGACCCCTCGGGGCAGAAGCTAGTCAACTGTGCAGACTCAATGTCTGCAATCCATCGTCTGGCAGCAATGGGGTCCTTCGCCCCGTGGAAATCCGGCGCACCGCTGCCCCTAAAGTCCTTAAAGGACAGTGTGTGTGATCCTGATTGGCTGGTCACCATGTCACTCCTGAACGCCTTGAGACGATCCTTCATCAGCTTGATAATCCCTTCCTTGATCGACCCAAAGATGATCGGGGTTGCATCAAGGATGCCCGTAGTGATCTCTGACGCAATGAACTCGCGTAGCCTCTCATCCACTGGTTCGGAACCTGAACCCGAACCCGATCCCTCTCCTGAACTGCTAACTGCTGGCCTCGAACGTAGTACCACCATTCTGCAATACATAATGACAACCGTCAGTGATACTGATACATCTAGAGGGATCACTTCTACCACAAGTTCCCTGGTCTCGTCTCAGCCCTTCTCGACTCAAGTACGGATCCTCTGCTTTCAGTAGTACGGGCCCACACTACCTTCCACATCTATCCGTACTTTCCTCAAGAACCGCCTCGACTCCACCAAGTCCCTTCTACTACTACTGATCTCTGCTATTCCCATCCTAGGCTCGCCCTAGGGTACTTCTAACTCCACCCAATCCAGTCCTCAGCTGCTAAAGGCCTCTTTGTAATGCCAATTAGCCACCATATGTTAGGACTCAAACAAGAGCTACGCAGCGGGGTCAAATCCAACACTTTGAGATTATTCAACCCTGATAGCATATGACCTAACGTACCCACCTAATAGCTAACTCCCATCACTCTGAGTCCCACATAGCACAAAGCAAGCAGCATTCAGACCAAAAAGGAAACAAGCTCACGCAATTCAATCCACATAACAGGAATCTGTACTAGCATGTGATATAAGCTCATGTAATCAGGCATAACCTAGGCAGGCTATCCTATCTCTGTCTAATCAACACTATCATGCAGCTCAAAAGCACATATAACAGGCACATAAGGCATCCTTCCTAGATCCCTAGTCCTAATCTAGCATGCTGTTCTACTGAAACTGATAATCATAACATAAACTTGTATGGGTACTTTGGGGAAAAACTTACTTGAGCTCGGCCGGTCGCGCACATCACACACTTCGTTCTTTCTCAAAACTCCTTTAGTTTATCTTTTAGAAAACCATTTTCTTGTAAAAGCTTTTAATCCCTCGATTTGAGTCCAGACACCCCCCGAGGGTGTGTCCGAATCCCTCAAACCAGGGCTCTGATACCAACTTGTAACATCCCAATTTTCGAGTCCAAAAATTATATTTTTATTTAACTGAGTATAAAAACATTCATAAGAAAACCACGTAGAAATATATCATTTCGTAAATCAACATAT